GCTGAGGTGTTCCAGCGAGTGTCTGCAGATCTTAGAAAACTATTTCTTGATTTAAGTCGTTGACGTGCTGGCTGATACCCAAACAGGGGATGAGCTGGAGATGTCACTGCCTTAGTCCTTTCATTGTTGGCTGCTACTTCCCAGCAAATGTCAGGTGGTGCAATACCAGCTAAACAGTGTAATTTCTCCAGTAGTGTAGGGCACAGACACCCTGTGATAATGCATGTCTCATTAAGAGCCACATCTACTGTTTTAGCGTGGTGAGATGCGTTCCACACTGGGCATGCATACTCAGCAGCAGAGTAGCATAGCGCAAGGGCAGATGTCTTCACTGTGTCTGGTTGTGATCCCCAGGTTGTGCCAGTCAGCTTTTGTATGATATTGTTTCTAGCACCCACTTTTTGCTTGATATTCAGGCAGTGCTTCTTGTAGGTCAGAGCACGGTCCAGAGTGACTCCCAGGTATTTGGGTGCGCTGCAATGCTCCAGTGGGATTCCTTCCCAGGTAATCCTCAGAGCTCGGGATGCTTGTCTGTTCTTAAGGTGAAAACCACATGTCTGTGTTTTAGATGGATTAGGGATCAGCTGGTTTTCCCTGTAATAGGCAGTAAGAGCACCTAGAGCTTCGGAGACTTCTGTTCAACCATCTCAAAGCTCCCTGCTTGAGCAGTAATGGCACAATCATCAGCATAGATGAAACTCTCTGTCCCTTCTGGCAATGGCTGGTCATTTGTGTAAATGTTGAACACGGATGGAGCAAGCACGCTTCCCTGAGGCAGGCCGTTCTTCTGTTTCCGCCATCTGATTCTTTGGTCCTGGAACTCAACAAAAAAGCTCCTGTTTTGTAGCAGGTTTCCTATGAGGCGGGTGAGGTGGTAATCCTTTGTGATATTATACATTTTTCTCAGGAGGAGGCGGTAGTTTACAGTATCATAAGCTACTGACAGGTCTATGAAGACAGCTCCTGTGATCTTCTGCCTTTCAAAACCCCTTACATGAAAACATAGATTTCCTAGTATCTTTCTCCTACAATAAGGAAAGAATGGGACTCCATTTCTCAGCATCCTCTTTTGGAAAAATGGAAATCTCCAAAGCTTTTGGAAATGTTATGATCTTTGGAAAGGCATGACCTTGTTAGAAGTCATAACCTTTTGGAAAATGATGTCATAACCTTTTGGGAAAATGGCATTTATGCAAGACAATTAGGCTTCTCAGCTGTTAAACTGATATACCTAGATATTTCTTTGAACTATTAGGGACAAAGATATGCCAATGCACAAAAAAACCTGCATACATATATATATAGAGAGAGAGCAGTTTCAGAAGTGTTCTTTTCATTTCCCAAACACATCTACTCTCCCTTAAAACATATTTGCCTTTCAATCATGCTCTCAAGAGACTTCTTTAAAAGTAACATAGTTGGTTCACTCACAAACTTCGTGTATTCAGCATACAGATATTTTGCTTATCAATCCAGTTACAAATAGTTTTGAAGTAGTTTCTCTGTATAATTTTTTTTGTCTTGTAAGGAGCGACTTGAGAAACTGCAAGTTGCTTCTGGTGTTAGAGAATTGGCCGTCTGCAAGGATGTTGCCCAGGGGAAGCCCGGATGTTTTGATGTTTTTACCATCCTTGTGGGAGGCTTCTCTCATGTCCCCGCATGAGGAGCTGGAGCTAATAGAGGGAGCTCATCCACTCTCTCCCTGGATTCTAATCTGTGACCTGTCAGTCTTCAGTCCTGCCGGCACAGGGGTTTAACCCACTGCGCCACCGAGGGCTCCTTCTGTATATATAACACAGGGCATCTTTCTTAGACTCTACAGTCAATCTAAAGCAGCGTTTCTCAACCTGGGGGTCGGGACCCCTAGGGGGGTCGTGAAGGGGTGTCAGAGGGGTCACCAAAGACCATCAGAAAACACAGTATGTTCTGTTGGTCATGGAGATTCTGTGTGGGAAGTTTGACTCATTCCTATTATTGGTGAGGTTCAGAATGCTCTTTGATTGTAGATGAACTATAAATCCCAGCAATTACAACTGCCAAATGTGAATGTCTATTTTTCCAAAGCTCCACCAGTGTTCACATTTGGGTATATTGTGTATTCGTGCCAAGTTTGGTCCAGATCCATCATTGCTTGAGTCTGGATGTAGGAGAACTACAACTCCAAAACTCAAGGTCAATGCCCACCAAACTCTTCCATAATATTTTCTGTTGGTAATGGGAGTACTGTGCACCAGGTTTGGTTTAATTCCATCATTGGTGAAGTTCAGAATGCTCTCTGATTGTAGGTTAACTCTAAATCCCAGCAACTACAACTCCCAAATGACAAAATAAACCCTCTCCCAACCTCACCAGTATTCAAATTTGAGCATATCGGGTATTTGTGCCAAATTTGGTCCAGTGAATGAAAATACATCCTGCATATCAGATATTTACATTACGATTCATAACAGTAGCAAAATTACAGTTATAAAGTAGCAACGAAAATAATTTTATGGTTGGGGGTCACCACAACATGAGGACCTGTACTAAGGGATCATGACATTAGGAAGGTTGAGAACCACAGATCTAAAGCAACTCTCTGTTCTGAGAGTTTAATAGAATCTTTGTCTAGTCTGAAAGTCAAATGGAGTCTGAGATCTAAAATGGAGTCTGAGCCCCGAACAAGCCCAGATCTGATTGCATGGTCTACAGCCCCTCCCACAAGAGTTAAGGAAAACTGCAGACCGATACACACATATACAATACAGTAAACAATCTGAATTATATACTTAACAAATAACTAGTGGAGGCTTGAAGAAGGACGCTATTTCCAACATCCCCAGTTAATATAGCCATTCACCAGTATAAATCTGTTTATACTGGTTGTCATGTGTGAGCGTGTGCACTTTCAAGTTGCCTGTCAACTTATAGAGTCTCCATGAATTCCATAAGGTTATTTTTTGTTGTTAGCCACCTTGAGAACCCATGCAAAGAAAAATGAGATATAAATAAAGTAAATAAAACAAATGAAATAAATTTCCTTAAGCAAGGAATACTCAGAAGTGGTTTGCCAGTTATTTCCTCTGAAATATTGCCTAGAGCACCTGGTGTTCACTGATGGCTGTTGGCAACTGGCAAACCCAGAACACAGCCTAGGACAGCTGCAGCCTGCCAAATTATTTGTGCCAGCCTACTTCTAACTCATAACTAACTCTGCTCTTCAAACTCCATGGGAAACTATTACATTTGTTAGCAGAAGGCTGCCTGATCATGCGTCTAGAAGTATTTGTCATTAAATATATATATTCTTGTGCTTGGACTCTGTTGATGCTATTGCCATTTTTATTTATTTATTTAGAACTTTTATATACCGGTCTTCTCACCTCCGGAGAGGGACTCAGGCCGGTTTACAACAAGATTCATGAACAGTAGTTTAAAAACATTACACCCCATAACATTCTAATACATAAAATACATTAAAAAGCAGTCATGTACTTACATAAGGCCAAGTCGTCAAAGAAAACAAAATTCATTATTCATTACCATCCATCCGTGTGGTCAAAAGTTATTGACTTACTCATCAAATGCTAAATTCGAGAGCCAGGTCTCCACCAATTTTCTAAAAGTCAGGAGAGAAGGTGCAGTTCTAATCTCCAGTGGGAGAGAGTTCCAGAGCCGAGGGGCCACCACCGAGAAGGCCCTGTCCCTCGTCCCCACCAGACGCAATTGCGAGGGTGGTGGGACTGAGAGCAGGGCCCCTCCAGAAGATCTTAACAACCTTGATGGTTCATAGGGGAGAATCCGTTCGGACAGGTAAACTGGGCCGGAGTCGTTTAGGGATTTATAGGTCAACACCAGCACTTTGAATTGTGCTCGGAAGCTAATTGGCAGCCAGTGGAGCTGGCGCAACAGAGGAGTAGTATGCTCCCTGTACCCCGCTCCTGTTAGTAATCTGGCTGCCGCTCGTTGGACTAGTTGAAGCTTCCAGGCAGTCTTCAGAGGCAACCCCACGTAGAGTGCATTGCAGTAGTCTATACAGGATGTAACCAGAGCATGGACCACCGTGGCCAAGTCAGACTTCCCAAGGTACGGGCACAGCTGGCGCACAAGTTTTAATTGTGCAAAAGCTCCCCTGACCACCGCTGAGACCTGGGGTTCCAGGCTCAGCGATGAGTCCAGGATCACTCCCAAACTGCGAACCTGCGCCTTCAGGGGGAGTGTAACCCCGTCGAGCACAGGCTGTAACCCTATGCCCTGTTCGGCCTTGTGACTGACCAGGAGTACCTCTGTCTTGTCTGGATTTAGTTTCAATCTGTTGGCCCTCTTCCAATCCGTTACAGCGGCCAAGCACCTGTTCAGGACTTGAACAGCCTCCTTAGTAGCAGGTGGAAAGGAGTAACAGAGTTGGACATCATCTGCGTACAGATGACACCGAACCCCGAAACTCCGGGTGATCTCTCCCAACAGCTTCATGTATATCTTAAACAACATAGGGGACAGTACTGAACCCTGCGGGACTCCACAGTACAATGGCTGTGGGGTCGAGCAGGAGTCCCCTAGCAACACCTTCTGGGAGCGACTGGAGCCACTGCAAAGCAGTACCCCCAAGGCCCATTCCAGCGTGGCGTCCCAGAAGGATACCATGATCGACGGTATCGAAGGCCGATGAGAGGTCCAGCAGAACCAACAGGGACACACTCCCCCCTGTCCAGTTCCCGGTGAAGATCATCCACTAAGGCGACCAAGGCTTAAGTTGACTTTGATTTACGGTAACCCTATGAATGAGAGACCTCCAAATTAACCTGTCATCAACAGCCCTGCTCAGACCTTGCAAACTCAGGGGCATGACTTTCTTGCCTGAATCAATCCCCTTGTAATGTGTTCTTGTTCTTTTCCTTCTACTTTCCTCTTCATCAGACATCATTGTCTTTTCTACAATCAAGCATTTTTTTTTTCTAAATTGGACATAATCTGAATTAGCATGATCTCACCATCAGCGGCTGGGTAAGCAGAAAACGTACCTTCCACCTTGGAGACAAAGCCAAGGCTCCGTTTAAGGTCAGAGCAGATGGATTGCAAACACCAGCGGAACTTGGCATCACAGCGGTATTTGTTGGCACCGCAGGTGTCATAACACATATCCAGCTGGTTGCAGCATTTAGTCATGGCTGGGATGCCCATATCCAGCTGTACAGAGGAAACAAAAGGGAGCAATGGGTTCTCATGCAGAACATATCTATTTTTCCTTTTATTGTTCAACATTGCATTGAAGTATAAGAAGTTGGCTTGCATCATCTGATGGTCCACCAGCTCAATGAGACTGAACATTAGCTAAGTTAATCATCTTTTTACTCAAGAGTGCAAGGAGCAGGATGTCAAATTCCCTCCCCTCACCCAACATGAAAGTTTCCTACAACCCCAAATTACTAGCATTGCAGTAACTTCAAATTCCAGTTCAAATTCCAGTTCATAGCAGTTTACCGGCCCTAGGTAATTTTCAGGTGTAAGCAAACAGTATTTTGGCACCCCCTCCCAAACCAATCACTAAAACATAAAAGGTAGAAGGTAGAGGTGAATAAAAGAACTCTTTTACAAACCAGAAGTTTACTTACAACATTATTTTCATATAGTTACATTACGTAGAATTAACACAAATTAACTTTCTTTAGAATGCAAATATTTTATTAAACGTAGCAACAGTTTAAAGTTTTTGTTGTTATTTTTGGTCTACGAGTACTACACAAAGGTTTCCTGATCATGCCGTGTCTTCAGAAGATTTTTCAGACTTCGGGCTTGCTAATAACAGAGAACTCAATCCCATGCTTGTTGAGTCTGTCAATCAGTTTTGTTTTGGAAAACGCAGCCCCAGGAGAATAGACAACTCCTTTTTAAGGCATTTTCTGGGCTGAATGGTCTTGTTCCAGAAGCATTCTCTCCTGGTATTTTGCTCACATCTATGGCAGGCATCCTCAGAGGTTGTGAGGTCTGTTGGAAACTAGGCAAGTGAGGTTTATATATTTGTGGAATGTCCAGGGTGGGAGAAAGAACTCTTGTCTGTTGGGGGTAAGTGTGAATGTTGCAATTGATCACCTTGATTAGAATTGAATAGCCTGACATGATGGTTGCCAGAGTGGTCTCTACAGGCCAATGGATAATCCACCACTGACATCAGAAGAGCTGCAAGAACAAGCCACGAGAGTAGAGACAAAGATCCATGCAGAGGAAAAGTGTTCTTACCATACATCAGGGGAACCACCATCAAGGAAGTTGATGAAGAAACATAGAAAGTATCTATAGACCCATTAAGAAAATCCAACCAATGCTATGTTCAGCAAAGGACAAGAGGGATCCTCCCACCACTGCAGGAGCCTACCATATACCATGTAGCTGTGGACAAGTCTACATAGGGACCACCAAATGCAGCATTGCCCAAACACGAATCAAGGAATATGAAAGGCACTGTAGACTAATTCAACCTGAGAAGTCAGGCATAGCAGAGCACCTGAAGAACTAACTTGGACAAGAATATTATTCAAGAACACAGAAATGCTGGACCACTCTGGCAACTATCATGTCAGGCTATGCAGAAAAGCCATTGAAATCCACAAGCATGTGGACAATTTCAACAGAAAGGAGGAAACTATGAAAATGAACAAAATCTGGCTATCAGTATTTTAAAAAAACTCTAAAATCAGGACATTAAGTAAAGAACAACACTCAAAAAGCAGGGGAATTCCAGACAAGAAATAGTCAGAGTCAGCTAATTGTTACAGTAAGTTGTAACAGGACCCAAGTGTGTGTGTGTTGAAGAAAAACCTATGATGGTAATTATTATGTGCAGCTCGTAATGTAGGTGAACCAGCAATCTTGGATCACACCCGATAGGGGATAACTGTATGAGTTTTTAAAATACAGTTCTGGAGAGCTTTTTGTCTGAGGAGATCTATGTTCAAAGGCTCTGCTCTGAGGAGCAGGTTGGAGAGAAGCCTTTATGCTGCTCTAAATGAGGCTATGGTGGAATAGCCGTTTGCTTACAGTTTATGTTTTGCTTTCACATTTGACTTAAGATGAAGATGCCTTATTTTGTGTTACTTACAAAGACTATGTAAGTTTCTTGCACTGTTGTAAGAGTAAAGATTTTTCAGTTCATTTTCTACTCTTGTCTGTGTGTCTTGTGCATGAGACGTGGCTAAGATCCGCTAATAATCTCTCAACAAAGGAAGCCCCCAGGCAGGAAGTAGCCAAGCCTTGAAGCTGCAATGGTATTCAATGCTATTCAGTGCTCATCAAGGTGATCACAATGGCCTCAAGCAAACAAACAAGAGTTTTTTCTCTCACCCTGGCCATTATTCCACAGATATTCCACCCCACTAGCCTAGCTTCCAACAAACCTCACAACCTCTGAGGGTGCCTGCCATAGATGTGGGTGAAACGTCAGGAGAGAATGCTTCTGGAACATAGCCATACAGCCCGGAAAGCTCACAGCAACCCAGTAATTCCGGCCATGAAAACCTTCGACAACACAATGCATATTACTATTTCCACAAACTCCCTTTTATATTGCAACTTTTGTACTACAAATACCATCATCCTCCTGCAGTCAAAGTTCAATTATTCTGCTGGAGGTGGGATTTTGGAAGCTGGCATCCCAAAATGTAACCTTTCTGGGGTATGACCCGGACCATCTTCAAATGTCATTTTTCCTCTTGGAAATACTTCTCCGTTGCATCTTGAATTCTCTTTCAGTATAAATATTGCCAGAAGTCGTTCTTGTCTTTCAGTAATAATTAAGATGGTTGGAGCTTTACATCCTCCATTCATGGAAATAATCCCCACACAGAGGGTTTATCCATTTGCTGCAGCTGCCAACAACAGTTGGGGGCTACAAGCTCCACTGACTGGCCAATTAAGTAGTAAATTATACAGGCAGCAATTGGATGACACATTATCGTCCGACTTGCCATCGGCAGCCCCCACCTTTGGCATGCAAAGGCAAACAGCTTGTGCTTGATATCATGAGAGCAGTGACAGTCTGGGCAAACTGACCAGGATTGCCTCCTTGTTTGGAGTAAAAATAGCCAAGCATTCATAATCATGCTGGCAACCCATGCCTGCCCGCCCTCCCACCCGCCCGCCAACATTTGGGTTAGTTAATTATTTCATCAGGAAACTGGTTGTTAGCAGTACATACACTTTCTGGTACCTTGAGACCCAGGAAATAAGAGCTACAGCCATTTGGTTCGGCAGACTTGTAATTTGGTCTGGGCATCGGTGCTTTCCCTGTAAGACAAGCAAAAAAGAAACAAATCTGAATTGTTCTATGTAGTAGCCTTGGAAAGAATTCCACTGTCCAAAGTCCTGTCTTAGGTTGCTTAAATGCTAGTTTACCAAAAAGCGCATACATCTAGTAAGGTGTTCCTAGGAATAAAATAATGATTATATATAATGCTAGAGTTGAATGAAAAGTAATGCCTCCACCTTTATAATAATAATAATAATAATATTACTTTATTTATACCCCGCTACCATCTCCCCAAGGGACTCAGTGCGGCTTACATGAGGCCGAGCCCACAATACATCAATAATAAAAACAATAACAACAAGTAATACAAAACAATACAAATAAAACTCATATCAGAAAATAAGTAATAAACATTAACAGTAACACCACGACGTTTAAAAACCTATGGCTGGGCCAAATGTAAAAATTAAAATATAAAAATAATGCTGAGCATGATCAGGTGAAATATGACTAGGATAGAGTTTTCAAAGAGGGATGGGCGTGCAGACACTCCTAGATCAATAATAAAGTGCATTTAAAGGACATATTTCATCAGGAAACCTTTGTTACTTGGGTTTGGACGGGAATATTTTAATAAATCAAACGCAGAATGTGCTCTTTAAATACCACTATTCACTTTCCCACATAATCACCAGACAATTGGATACATTTCTGCCAATGATAAACAAGTTTTCTGAAGCCGTTACGGAAGAAGTTGACACTCTGTTTCTGCAACCAGTGTCTCTCAGTTCTCTCAACGTCTTCATCAGAAGCATAATGATGTCTCCACAGATTTTCTTTCATTATCAAGAACAAATAGAAGTCAGACGGTGCTAAATCTAGACTATATGGAGGATGTCGTACAGTGGTGAGATCCAGCTTCTGAAGTTTCAAGTCTGTGCACTTTCATTTCAGGCGTCAGCATCCTGGGTACCCATCATGCACAGATCTTCCAATAACCAAGCAAAGCAATAATGTGCCCCACACATTCTTGTGAAATGCCAATTATGCTTGAAATTTCTCTCTGAGTGATATGACGATCGTCCTAAATTAATCTGTCAATCTTTTGCTTGTGAAACTCGGTGGTTGCTGTCACAGGACATCCAACTCTTTGTTTGTCACACAAGTCAGATGTTCTCACCTCAACATCTTTAAACTTACTCACCCAATGATGCACAGTACTCACATCAACACAATCACCATAAACAGCTTGCATTCTCTGATGAATCTCCTTTGGGGTGACACCTTCTGCTGTCAAGAATTCAATGACTGCATGTTGCTTAAGTCGCATTGACCTGACCGTCTGCGCAGGGTTCCATACTTCGCACTTTAACAACACAACCATTCAATGCTAAGGCTTCCCACAAATGGAACTGTAGAGGAGAGTCTACTGAACAAGTCAGTACCTGCCACATACCAGTACTGCCATCTGTTGAGTTGCGAAGGTGGAGGCATTACTTTTCATTCAACCCTCATAAATCTATTTATAATTCGTCTGCAATCAATGAGCACTCTGAACTCCACCAAAGATGGAATTGGACCAAACATGGCACATAGAGACCCCAGCAAAAATACTGGAGGTCTTTGAGGAAAATTCACCTTGATTTGGGGGAGTTGTAGTTCACCTACATCCAAGAGCACTGTGAACCCAAACACTGATGGATCTGGACCAAACTTGGCACACATACCTGATATGCTGAAATTTGATTACTGGAGGGGTTTGGGGAGAACTGACCTTCCTTTCTGGGAGTTCTAGTTCACCCACAACCAGGAAAACTATGACCTCCATCAATGATGGACATGCACCAAACATGGCACACAGAACCCCCATGGCCAACCGAACCTACTGTAGGGGTTTGAGGGGAGTGACTCACCATAGTGGGAGTTGTAGTTTGCCCTACAGCCATAGAGCACATTGAACCCCACCGATGATGCATCGAGAACAAACTTGTCCAACATTAAAACTTCAAGTACTGATGGAGTTTTTCGTTATTAACCTGGCATGATGTGAGTTGTAGTTCACTCACAACCTTATGCATTTTGTACAATTAAAAATTGACTTTTTCAAATAACCCAGGCAACGCCGAGTACTCAAGCTAGTATATAATAAATATGACATATTTGTATGTTATTCAGTAGGGCTCCCAGATTCCTGGGGGTACGTTCTTGAACTTTATGTGGATATGTGAAATAATAGTGAACCCTATTATTTTCAATTGGATAAATGATGGAGGTACCTGGAAAACAGTGTAGCTTGTACAAAGGGCTTAAAGTGGATAAATGAATAAGTGAAACCATGGATAAGCGAAACTGCATACATTGGTTCTGTGAATATAGGATCTTGCTGTACATCTATATAAATAAAAATGTAATGCTTGTTTGTGGGATTAACAGAACTCATAAACCACTGGGGAAATTGACACCAAATTTGGACACAAGACACCTAACAACCCAATGTATGTTCTTCACTCAAAAAAATTGATTTTGTCATTTGGGAGTTGTAGTTGCTGGGATTTATAGTTCACCTACAATCAAAGAGCATTCTGAACCCCACCAACGATGGAATTGAACCAAACTTGGCACACAGTCCCATGACCAACTGAAAATACTGGAAGGGTTTGGTGGGCAGTGTCCTTTGGTTTTGGAGTTGTAGTTCACCTACATCCAGAGATCACTGTGGACTCAAACAATGATGGATCTGGACCAAACTCTACACGAATACTCAGTATGCCCAAATGTGAACACTGGTGGAGTTTGGGGAAAATAGAATCTTGACATTTGGGAGTTGTAGTTGCTGGGATTTATAGTTCACCTACAATCACAGAGCATTCTGAACCCCAACAATGATAGAATTGGGCCAAACCTCCCACACAGAACCCCCATGTGGGCCACAGCAACGCGTGGCAGGGGACAGCTAGTAATAAATAAAATATTCAAAATGAAAGCCACATAATCTCATCCTTAGATTAGAACCCCAATCAAAGGAGATGATCGGACACAAACATCAACTTCAACACTTGAATTCTGAATGCCTCATATCACATTTCAGTTATAAATAAATATACATTTGGAAGATAACTTCACCACCATCACCATAACATTCAATTGCTCCAGATGTTACTAACTTGATTGTTCTCATTTCAGCAGAAATACGATATGGTATTTCATAAGATGTCAACAGCCAGGTTTCAAACGTTTGTCATTGCATGTGGCTAATAAAATACTGTGAAATATATTGCTTCTCTGTTCCCTGGACTTGTTTAATGTCCCAAGTTATGCGCATATCAACAATCCAGTAAGGACCAGAAATACACTGGCATGATAAAATAAAGGCATAATAAATACATAATATTCTACAGCTGCAGCATTCAAAAATATTGTATTTTATTTTAGTTTGGCTGCTGCAGCACCGCCAGGTTTAGAGAATGCAACTATGTACTAAATGAGAGGGGACATAATCAAGTACTTGTAGAAATGAGCTTTGTCACTGCTTCTTGAGTTAAGATAGCAATAGTAATTGCCTTCATGACAGCAAGGCAGACTGTTATCAGCATTAGCAAGGAGGGTTTAAAAAGCAGAGAAACAGTTGGAATTATCTGCCCTGGAAAGGAGTAACCTGACACATAATTTATAAGCTTGTTAGAGGCAAGGAGCTTGTCAACAGGGTGTAGTCTAGTTCATTATTTAGCTTTCAAATAGAATCCCTTTATCATAGACTTTTGGCAGTCTTTGGGAGATAGCAGCTTCAAACACTTGTCAAGTGGAGGTCAACAACCACAGACAAAGGAAAGTCAGGACTGGGTCCTGTTGGCAGGTCCAAATAGAATAGAATGATTGAATCGACTGCAGAATGCTGAGCCAACACTAATGTAAATCTCATAGATTCAGTACGTCTGCTATAGTTGTGTAACTAACATAAGGATTCAAGCTCCAGCGTGATTCCCAAACTCTGGTCCTCCTGGTGTTTTGCATTTCAGCTTCCAGTATCTCTGACCATTGGGCAAAGTGGCTGAGGCTGCTGGGTGCCAAGTCCAAACATATTAAGAACCAGAGTTTGAGGATCTTGGACTTCAAAGATCTATTATTTACTAGCTATCCCCTGCCACGCGTTGCTGTGGCCCAGTCTGGTGATCTGGAAAATAAAGTAATGAGAAAGTGTTGGTTTCTAATATATGTGATTTCTTTATGCTTGTGGGTACTAAACAGTATTGCTTTTTCTTTGTCAGTGTTGATGTGACGATTGTCTGGTTTGCCTACTCTGGAACATGCAATATATCATTGTCTTTGATACTGCATCTGTCATATACATATGTGTGTTTGTGTGAATGGCTGGATGGCCCTTTGTCAGGGGGGCTTTGATTATGTTTTCTTGCCATGGCGAAAGGAGTTGGACTGGATGGCCTTAAGGCAGCATTTCTCAATCTGGGACGTCAAGACCCCGGGGGAGGGGGGGGGCACCAGGGAGGTGGTACTATATCTGTCATATACATGTGTGCGTGTGTGAATCATATATATTTATCTGTATTTATGGCTGGATGGCTCTTTGTCAGGAGGGCTTTATGTTTTCTTGCTATGGTGAAGGGAGTTGGACTGGGTGACCTTAAGGCAGCATTTCTCAACCTGGTTTTTGGGACCCCTGGGGGAGGGGTTGCGAGGGGGTGTCAGAAGGGTCAGCAAAGACCACCAGAAAACACAGTATTTTCTTTTGGTCATGAGGGTTCTATGTGGGAAGTTTGCCCCAATTTTGTCATTGGTGGGGTTCAGAATGCTCCTTGATTGTAGGTGAACTATAAATCCCAGTAACTGCAACTCCAAAATGTCAAGGTCTATTCCCTTCAAACTCCATCTGTGTTTATATTTGGGCATATTGAGTATTCGTGCCAAGTTTGGTCCAGATCCATCATTGTTTGAGTCCACAGGTGAACTACAACTCCAAACCCAAGGTCAATGCTGAGGAGAGGGTTCCACAAGCGAGGGGCCACCACCGAGAAGGCCTTTT